AAAGGAGGCAGACACTCTTCAGGATGAAAAGGACGCTCTGCAAATTGAGAAGAGTGTCTGGTACACTGAGCGTGACTTTCTTAAGGCTGAGAAAGGTGAACTTCAGCGCCTGCTTAGTGATGAGCAGACCGCCCAAATGGCTTTTGAGATGAGGGCCTTGGAAAAGCGTGACACCCTGCTTAACATTATTGGCAAAGTGTATGGCGGTATGATGGCTCTTCATGCACGCTTTTCCAGGGTAGGTGCCCATAGGTATGCACAGGGGTTCCGAGAGGGTTACACCGACCGCGTTCCTACTGAAAGCCAGATCGGTTTCACTCCGGATGAGGTTGACAAGGAGTTGGACATTGATCCTCCAGGAACCTATGTTGATCCAGACTCCACTCCTGCTGAGCATATTTTTGATGAGTGTCAGGAGATTGCTTCTTCCAGGGTCACTCTTACTCCCACCACTGATCAGCCCTTGGACGTGCCTCCTCTGTCCACCCTGGTCCCTTCTGCAACCACTGTCGAGGTTGAGACTCAACAGATCAACTTTATTATTCAGCTTGACTCTCCTCTTTGTGAAAATGGGGTGACCAATGGTGGCAAAGAGACAAGTCAGCTCAACTAGGAGGGTGATGGAACAGAGGCAGCCAGTTAGGGCTCTCCTGTTGCCATAATTTTTTTTTTTTTTTTTTTTTTGTATTCATGTCATCTATATACTTCATAGGCTGTAACCTCAAAAATTTCTATTATAAATGAGATGGAAAATTTTTGGCTGAACCTTGTTCCAATTTTTTTTTTTATTTTCTCATTGATTACACCTGCTCGTCAGTAACAATAATTAATTCCATATTCAGTTTCGGCAAGTTTTTGGCGTTCGGCTCATAGTGCCAACTGCCACCAACTTTCCAGAGTGGTTGGCGCTCGGCTAGAATGCCACTTGCCACTTTCACTCTTTATTTTTGGCAAGTTTTTGGTGTTCGGCTTATAGTGCCAGCTGCCACCAACTTTCCAGAGTGGTTGGTGCTCGGCTAGAATGCCACTTGCCACTGTCATTCTTTATTTTGGCAAGTTTTTGGCGTTCGGCTCATAGTGCCAGCTGCCACTAACTTTCCAGAGTGGTTGGCGCTTGGCTAGAATGCCACTTGCCACTATCACTCTTTATTTTTGGCAACTTTTTGGCGTTCGGCTCATAGTGCCAGCTGCCACTAACTTTCCAGAGTGGTTGGCGCTCGGCTAGAATGCCACTTGCCACTGTCACTCTTTATTTTGGCAAGTTTTTGGCATTCGGCTCATAGTGCCAGTTGCCACTAACTTTCCAGAGTGGTTGGCGCTCGACTAGAATGCCACTTGCCAGTGTCACTCTTTCTTTTTGCCAAGTTTTTGGCGTTCGACTCATAGTTCCAACTGCCACTAACTTTCTAGAGTGGTTGGCGCTCGGCTAGAATGCCATTTGCCACTGTCACCCTTTATTTTTGGCAAGTTTTTGGCGTTCGGCTCATAGTGCCAGCTGCCACTAACTTTCCAGAGTGGTTGGCGCTCGGCTAGAATACCACTTGCCACTGTCACTCTTTATTTTTGGCAAGTTTTTGGCGTTCGGCTCTTAGTACCAGTTGCCACTAACTCTTCAGATTTTCAAACATTCAATTTTTTCATAGGAAGACGGCTCTTTATAGATTTCAAAATTTTGTACATTTATGCGTACACAATTTGAGAATGAACAATGATAAAATTGGAACTCGATTTTCTATTGATAATACCTTTTCAGAGATGTAGCATTCCATGGCTTGTTGACTAGCCTTCCAGCCATGGTTTCTAAGGTGTAAGCTCCCTTTCCTAAGACTTCTACAACTCTATATGGGCCTTCCCAGGGTGCCACCATTTTCTTAACCATTCCTACCTTTTTCTTCAGAACCAGATCACCTGGTGTAAAGTCTCTGTGCTTTACCTTTTTGTTATGGCTATTCATAAGCGTCTGTTGGTAGGATGCGAGCCTTACTACCGCTGCATCTCTCTTTTCCTCCAACATATTGAGGTTAAACCTCAACATACTGTCGTTATGCTCTCAGCTCCATGCCAAGCTTCGGACAGTCGGAACCAAGTGTTCGATCGGTATAACTGCCTCGGTACCATACGCCATAGCGAATGGGCTTTCTCTGGTAGGTCGCCTTGGGGTCGTTCTATAAGCTCATAAGACGTTCGGTAGTTCATCTACCCATTTTCCTTTTTGATCTTCAAGCTTCTTCTTGATGCAAGCAAAGATTGTTCTATTCGTGATTTCTGCTTGTCCATTGGCCTGGGGGTGACTTACTGCCGCCAGCTTTTGATTAATTCCATATTCCTCCAACAACTCTCTTACTTACTTGCTATCAAGGTTGGTCCCATTATCCATGACGATTGACCTCAGAACACTAAAACGGCAAATAATATTACTCCAAACGAACCGTCTCACATGAGTCTGAGTCACGCTCGGGTACAGCTCTGCTTCCACCCACTTAGTAAAGTAATCTGTAGCCAACAGCATATATTTGTTTTGAGCTCTTGTAGTTGGTAGAGGACCAACCACATCCATCCCCCATTGTGCGAAAGGCTATGGTGTGGCCATTACGTGCAACTCCTCAGGTGGTTGGTGGATCAATGGTCTGTTCTTTGGCATTTGTCACACCTTCCAGTGAACTCTTCCGCATCTCTTGATATGTTCGGCCAGAAGTACCCCTGTGTCATTGCTTTGTGCGCTAAAGATCTTCCCCCAGAATGATTTCCACATACACCTTCATGAATAGCTCGCAGTATCTGCCGAGCCTCTACGGGGGTGACACATTTCAAGTATGGTCCAGAAAAAGATCTTTTGTACAACTGGTCATGCACTATGGCATACTTTGCAGCATTCAATTTGACCTTCCTAGCCTTTTCCCGTTGCTCGGGCAAAGTACTATCCCGAATGTAGGTTATAATCGGATCAATCCAACTCGGTTCATACGGTATGAGATTCACTTGCCAAGGATCGAAGCTTGTAGGCTCTTCGAAGATGGATGGCTGGCTCAGTATACCTATTAGAATCACCCTTGCTAATGTCTCCTCGGAACTCGAAGCACTACATGCTAACCGATCGGCCTCGTCGTTATGCTCTCTCGGCAGCCGGATGACTTCAATTTTCTCAAAACTTCTGGATGCACGCAGCACGATAGAACGATATGCTTCCATCGTTTCGTCCTTGGTTTCATACTCACCATTCACCTGACGGACAATCAACTGTGAGTCGCTAAAAGCGGTTAAGTTGCTGACCCTGAGCTCTTTGGCCAACTTGTCCATTGAGCAACGCCTCGTATTCTGCTTCATTATTAGTGGCTCGAAATTCAAGTCTGAGCGCTTGGCTCAAAGACGTGCCCTCTGGCATTTGCAATTTGATCCCAATACCTGCCCTCATCTGGTTGAAGGAGCCATCTACGTAGAGCTTCCATGGACATCTGCTAAGGTCTTCTGAATCGCACTTCTGAATTGCACTCCAACAAAAAATCAGCCACCACTTGCCCTTTGATAGTTGTTCTGGGCTCATACATTATGTCAAATGAGCTTAACTCTATGGCCTATTTCATCATTCTTCCCGAGAGGTCCAGCTTGTGCATGAGCACTTTGATTGGGAAAGTTGTCAGAACGACTATAGGATAGGACTCGAAATAATGCCACAGCTTTCTCTTGGCATTAACGAGCGAAAGTATTACCCGTTCGGTTTTCGAATATCTTCGTTCAGCTTCGGTCATCGTTTTACTGACATAAAAAATTGGGTACAGCACTTCTTCTTTGCAACGAATCAAAACGGCACTTGTTGCAATGTTAGATACCCCAAGATACAAAAATAGCTTCTCTCCTGGATCAAGAGTAAACAAGACGGGTGGATTTTGCATATACTCTTTTAATTGAGTCAGTGCTTGTCGCTGTTCATCCCCCCAGACCTATCTCCCATGGCTCCGTATTGTGTCGAAGAATGGCTTACAACGATCTGACAGCTTTGAGATAAACCGACTTAGCGCAACTATTCGACCCATGAGAGCTTGCAATTCTTTGATTGTCTTCGGTTCCACATTTGTGATCAGAGCTTCTGCCTGAGCTGGGCTAGCCTCTATTCTTCTGTGGTTAACTACGTGTCCTAGGAATTGGCCAGAACTCACGCCGAATGAACACTTGTTTGGATTAAGCCTCATTCCATATCTTCTTAGCACATCGAACATGTCTTGGAGATGTTTCAAATGATCAACTTTCTTCTTACTCTTTACCACCATGTCATCAATGTAAGCCTCCACAGTTTTTCCCATCTGATCTTCAAAAATCTTGCTAATCAGCCGCTAGTAGGTTGCTCCTGCATTCTTTAGTCCGAACGGCATGACTCTGTAGCAGTAAGTCCCTCGTTCGGTAACGAAAGAAGTTTTTTCTTCATTAGCGGGGCTCATGGGGATTTGATTGTAGCCTAAATAAGCATCTAGGAAGGTTAAACGCTCGTACCCCGTGGTAGCATCTACCATTTGGTCAATCTTTGGGAGCGAGAAGTTATCCTTCGGACAGGCTTTATTTAAATTGGTGAAGTTAATACACACTCACCATTTACCATTTTTCTTTGGCACAACGATGACATTTGAGAGCCAATCTGGGTACTGTACTTCCCTAATGAACGTTGCATCAAGTAACCTATCAACCTCTTCGACTATAATCTGATTGCGTTATGAAGCAAACCTTCTCTGCTTCTGCCTTACAGGTTTCATGGTCGGATTAACATTAAGGGAATGACAGGATACAGAAGGACTGATTCCAGGCATGTATAAGTGACTCCATGCGAACACATCAGCATTCCGAGACAAAAAATCAATTAGCTCCCGTTTTTCATCCTCGGCAAATCTTATTCCCACTCTGGTTGTTCACTCTGGCCTGTCATGGTGGATCTGCACATTAGCAAGAGGCTCTTCAGTTAAGTCCATAGGCTCCTCCTCCCTATTCTGTGTGGGTGGAGGTTCCTGTAATTGCTATTTCGAGCTTGCTGAGCGAATAGCTGTTTTTCCTTTCCCAGCGGATTTCATCGTCACAGAATAACACTTCTTAGCTGCAACTTGGTCCCCGTGAATGTCAATTACCTTATTTTCGTCAGGCCCTAAGCACCTCATTACCTGGTACAGACTTGAGGGAACACCCTGAACTCTATGAATCCATCCTCTGCCCATCAGAAGGTTGTAAGACGGGTGGATCTCAACTACCACAAAGCTCTCTATCAGAACCCTTTCTGTAGCTTGTACTGCAACTTCCACCATTCTGATGGGTTCAACCTGTTTTCCATCAAACCCTAACAAGGGATTTGTAGTGGGCTTAAGCCTCTCGGGTTTTATTTCGAGCCGATTGAATGTGTCCCTGGGTATAACATTTGCACTGCTCCCAGGATCAATCAGGACTCGTCGTACCAGGTATTCTGCTAGTGTCAAACTAACGACTAACGGATCCTCATGAGGAATTTGAACGCGTAACAGGTCGGTTCTGTCAAACTTGATCTGTGTTGATGCACTCTGTTGGTGCAGAGCGTTTACACTGCCTATCCTCCTCTTCATCTATGCCTGGCGAAGGCGTGTTCGAAACAGTTCATCTGACTCCTCAGTAGGCTCAGGCCGACCGTGAATTGCATTGATTATTCAAACTGGTTGCGTATTGTGGGAGTTCGACTTCTGATTCCTCTTCACTTGCTCTATCGGTCGGTTCTGTTCTGCCGCCAGGCCTTGAATATAACTTGTAAACTCCCCTCTGGCTATCAGTATCTCTACCTATCTCCTTAAGTTCTTGCACTCATTAATCTGATGGCTAAAGTCAGAATGGAATGCACAATGCTTAGACTGATCCCTCTGCTTGAGGGGCTGTCGGATTGGTAAAGGAGATCAGAACTTATCTTTATTTTCTTGGTACAGCCTTGCTAAGGTGACTTTCAATGGAGTAACCAGCTCTTCCTCCCTAGGCCTCTTTTCAGATTTCCAAGAGGTCTGACGCTGTGGCTGAACCTGCTTTTGTCTGATCTTTGCTTTGGTTTACTCTTCTGTTGATATGATGGATGTCTTCTGAGCGTTAGCTGCCTCTTCTTCTTCCAAGACCACAAATCTATCAGCTCTTTCATTAAGTTCATCCATAGTCTTCGGCGTATTCACTACCAAGCTTGTGTGGAATGGAGTGCCATGAGTCATGGCCAATTTAAACGCTTGAACCACCGTAGAAGGATGACATTCAATCACCATGCTCTTAGTAAGGTTAAACCTGGTAAGGAAAGCTTGGAGACTCTTGTCCTTATGCTGCTTCATTGTGAATAGGCTCGAAATGTCCTTTGCTGGATGTTTATTTCCATAATACTAGCTTATGAACCGGTTACACAAGCTTCGGAAACTATCTACTGAGCCCATCGGTAGGTTCTTGAACTAATTGAACGCTGGTCCAGCTAGACTTGTAGGGAAGCACTTGCACATCAAGGAATCATTCTCAGTGTTCAGAGCCATTTTCAACTGGATGTGATATACATGATCAATCAGATCGGTCGTCCCGTCGAACAAAATAAAAACTGGCATGAAAAATTTCCTCGGACTCGAAGCATTCAGAATTTCATCGGTGAACGACGAATCAACCGTTCGAGCTGCTGAACGGAGGGCTTCATTTTCCCTCTGGAACCCCGCGGTTGCTATCTGATCTACAGATCTCCTTTCTGAGCTTCGATAGTTGAGCGTCGCCATGGAAGACCGATAAGCCGGATCGAATGATCTTTCCTCCATAAACTCTTTGTGCCACGGCGGTATAGCTTTGTGGCGATCAAACTCCATTGCTTCGACTTGGCTGAGCATTTCTTGATGTGAATCGAAAGTCATGGCTTCGTTTTGCCTGATCTGTTCACGCCGTGGATCCACGTGAGTTGATCCTTCACGATCATCAACACGACGAGGATTTGGCGGCAAATCGTTTGGCCGGACCTCTTCGCGGTGAAGATCTGTCTGATTGTTCCCTACCTCCTCACCGTGATGCGCCGCATCAGTGCGTACAACTTCTTCTCCTGCCGAGAGCGGTCGCGGAATCACCGGAACTTCTTGACGCTGCATTTCAGTCCTTAGATCTGTATTCTCTCCCCTGAGAGCTTCGATCATGCTCATCAACTCATCAAGTTTCATCTACTGGACATTCTCTACCGTATTGGAGTTCTCACCCCCAATCATCATTCCAGAACAGAGCAAATACATGAATCACAAATTCTAAGTTAGATCTGAGTTCTGCTGACGCGAATCACGTCAGATCTGGACTCAAATTTTACGAGTTATGTTCTCCCTTCGATAGATTAGAGCTTTTCCGGCGTTTGAGCTTGTTGGATCGAGCCGCGATAGAGTGAATCACAGCTGCATAAACCTAACGCCAATTTCTCAAAATCAATCAAGAATCAAGAACTTCTCAAGAGCAAATCGCACTCTCTTAGATCTGGATTAAACCTCTAGAAATCAAGCTTCGTCGTCACCAATCAGTCTGAATCAACATGACGTTGATCAAATAAGAATCAACCTTCAACGATTCCCACAGATGGCGCCAATTTTAAGTGCAAGAAAATATCACTCCTCATTTCTCTAATATCTCTTTCTACAATTTTTCTCTCCCCCCCCCCCCCTTTCTATATCTTCTATGCCTACTTTTTGTTATAACTAACTTCTTGTGTTAGACTCTTAGTCTTCAGGCCTTCTTCCTTTTGGGCTTGACTCAATCCGGTGGATCTCCGGTGTTGGGCCTGTGGCATTAGTCTTCGAGCTTGGGCTTGAACTTGCTGCCCAACCCGATGCTCTTGTCTTGGGTCAGATCTGGTCCACTCTACCTTCGGTATCCTTAGGTATAGATGATGACCTTGGAACCGATCAAATAGGAGCGAAATTTGTCAAAAGAAAACACGATGGCTAACAACTCTTTCTCCGTGGTGGAGTAGTTGGTTTGGGCATCATTCAAGGTTTTGCTAGCATAATAGATGACATGTCGTGCTTTCTCAACCTTTTGACCTAAGAAAGCTCCTACTGCATAATCCGACGCATCACACATGATTTCAAAAGGTAAGTTCCAATCTGGCGAACGGATGATGGGTGCGGTGGTGAGAGCTGACTTTAATTGTTCAAAAGCAGAGTGACAGGGATTGGTAAACTCAAAGGGTATATCCTTCCCTAACAGATGGGTGAGAGGTCTTACTATCTTGCTAAAATCTTTAATGAAACGATGGCAAAAACCAGCATAACCTAAGAAAGCTCTAATATCCCGAACAGTTTTGGGAATGGGTAAACTCGAGATAAGGTCAACTTTGGATTGATCTACCTCAATTCCTGCAGCGAAGATATTATGACCGAGGATAATTCCTTTTCTAACCATGAAATGACACTTTTCCCAATTAAGAACCAAGTTAGTGTCACGATAACGCTGAAGAACAAGAGTAAGATGGTGAAGGTATTGCTCAAATGATGAACCAAAGACAGAGAAGTCATCCATGAAGATTTCAAGAAACTTTTCAACCATGTCACTGAAAGTACTCATCATACACCGCTGAAATGTAACAGGTGCATTGCATAAACCAAAAGGCATGCGACGATAAACAAATGTGCCAAATGGACAGGTGAAAGTGATTTTATCTTGGTCATCAACGTGGATAGGGATTTGATTATACCCAAAGTAACCATCTAAGAAGCAATAGAAGGATTGACCAGCTAATCTTTCTAACATTTGATCAATGAAAGGCAGAGGGAAATGATCCTTTCGAGTGACAGTATTGGGCTTTCGATAATCAATGTAAACTCGCCATCCAGTTTGGATACGAGTACAAACCAATTCATTATGGCTATTGGATACGACGGTGATGCCCGATTTTTTAGGGACAACATGAATGGGGCTTACCCACTGACTATCAGAAATGGGATAGATGATACCGGCATCAAGAAGTTTGATAATTTCAGCACGAACAACTTCATTTAAATTAGGGTTAAGTCTCCTTTGGGGCTGCCTATAGGTTTTTGCATCGTTATCTAAATGAATACGATGTTGAACCACTAAAGGACTAATGCCGCAAATATCATCAATGGACCACCCTATGGCTGCACGATTTTTCCTAAGAACCTTAAGAAGTTGGGTTTCCTGATTGGTAGTCAAGTCCAAAGCAATTACCACTGGAAAAGTGTCAGACTCACCTAGGTAGGAGTACTTTAAAGTCTCAAGTAGAGGCTTTAGTTCAACCTTGGGTGGCTTCTTCTTATTGTCGAGAGCAGTGGTAGCGGGAACAGATAATGGTTCAAACCTAATCTTCGGTGGTTCAAAGGTTGGAGTGGAATCGAGTAAAGCATTGACCTCACCAATGTAACTATCCACATCAACCTTATCACAAAAATGTGCTAGACACTATTGGAGTGGATACTCAAGGTAAGAGTTCTCAAAGGTGTAAGCAGCTAATGACTCAATGAGACAAATTTTTCAATGGAATCTGAGTCAGGGGGTTGCTTCATCAAATTAAATACATTGACTTCCAATTTCATGTTTCCAAAGGTTAAAGTCATACTACCATTTCGACAATTGATCACAGCATTAGGGGTAGCTAAGAATGGTCGACCTAAGATGATAGGAATTTGTGTACCTTGGGTAGGTTGGGTATCGAGAATAATGAAATCAACCGGGTAATAGAAATCAGCTATTTTCACTATCACATCTTCAATTATACCCCGTGGAATTTTGACAGAACGATCAGCTATTTGGATCCTATCATCAGTTTTTTTTAAATTATTCAAGCCTAACTCTAAATAAACTGAATATGGTAACAAATTCACACTAGCACCGAGATCCAACAAAGCATGTTCAGCAAACTTTTCTCCAATCCTACAAATGACAGTTGCACTCCCCGGGTCTTTATGTTTAACCACGGCTTGATTTTGTAGGAGAAAGAACAATTTTGGGCTATGACAGCTTCTTTTGGGATGTTGGTTTTCCTTTTGACTAAATCTTTGATGAACTTTGCATAAGAAGGAACTTGTTTAATAGCAGTGAGAAATGGAATATTGATCTGAAGATTTGAAAAATATCTAAGATCTCACTGTATTGTGACTCCTTCTTATTATTGACTAGTCAAGAAGGAAATGGGGTGGGGGGAACATAAGACTGAAGATGGATTGGATCAGATTTGGAACCTTGGTCCTCTTTGGTGCTGGCTGGGTCTGATACACTAGACTTGGATGGTGCATTTGTAGCTTGGGTGGGTAGCTCAACTTGATTATTGACTTTCTTCCCTGACCGAAGGGTTAAGATGGAGTTCACTTGATTATTTGATTGCTCAGTGGGAGGAGAAGTTCCAATGTGATTCACTTCTTTGCCTCTTGGATTAATTTCAGGTTGGCTAGGCAAGGTACCTTTTTGTCTTTCAGACAGTGCAGAAGTGAGTTGAGTCAACTGACTGTGGATAGATTGCTGAAATTGGAGTTGACTCTGAGTTAAAAGGTGTGATACCCCTCGGATCCGAGACACGGGTTTCTCAGGCCCAAGCCTAAACCCGAGGAAAATATCAGACAATTAATATTTTAAA